GGGACCTGGCCCGGGACCGCAAGAACCGGTGCGTACTTGAAACCAAGCCTAAACCCCCGACAGAGGGACTTAGCCCCAGAACAGACTCGGAGCTGCTGGTCCACGACTGACCTTCCCTTTATCTATGGCCAGTACCTCCTAATCCGTGCCAACGCGACCTTGCGCTTGGACAACGCCCCACGTGCGCTTATTCTTCGCTTCCCACCCTTGATGTTCACAATCGCTGGTAATTTTCCTTCTGCCTGCTGTATCGAGTGATGCTCAGATGACCATGGCGTCTGCCTGCATGGGCAGTTGCGCATGAGAAACCCACCAAAGTCTGCCCAAAACGCCTCTCTCTCTCTCTCTCTCTCTCTCTCTCTCTCTCTCTCTCTCTCTGTGTGTGTGTGTGTGTGTGTGTGTGTGTGTGTGTGTGTGTGTGTGTGTGTGTTTTAGAGTAGGGATTCTACGGAAAAAGACCTGAGTTATTTATTGAGCCAGTGTGCTCAGTGCTGTGATCATGCAATTTTCGAACCTTTACAAAGCACACGGGGGATACAGAAGACAAAACGTGAAAAACGTAGTCGTCAATCACCCAGCTCGATAGATGGCATCCAACCTTTCCTCGCGTTCTTATTTGCACACACATCAATCTGGTTGTCCACGCGACAATGTCTGTATGCTCACTGCTCAGTACATCTACAAATGGTATCACTTTAAGCTATTTGGTTAGCATTTTTCACGTAGATTGGTTGGACTTACGTAAATAGTACGTTCATTTCGTGTAGCACCACTACTTCACGGACTGAGTACAGGCATGTTCATTCAGGGGGAAAAAACACTATGTTCACTGAACTTCACTCCGTGTCGTACGACTACCGGTATGTCCATTCCGACAGAAATGAATCGAGTCTTCTAGCAGATAGAAGAATGGACTTCGATGATACTCCAAAACTRAACAATCACGATGTCTTTTTTTTTTCTTTTTCTTTTCTCTTTTTTCTAATAAACAAACAGCCCCCTGGTTTCCTAGTCTGCTGAGTCAAAAGAGAAAAAACCGGAGTAGCTATGCCTGACATACGAGAAGGCTATGGTTTCGCGACCACGCGAACATACACTCATTGTATTGAAGCACAAAGGACATGGTGTGCTGAGTGTGCTCGCTGTGTAATGTTGTGCAAGTTTTCTGGTTGGGTGGCGATCAGGCGAGCATACACTCATAGTATTGACGGAGACGCGTGTAATCCTGTGCAATTTTTTTCGGTTGGGTGAAACAGCTCTCGTGCGCTATTTCACTATCTATTTTGCTGCTCATGAAACAAGAAAATTTAGAAACACAACAACGACAATGACAATGACAATGACAATGACAATGACAATGACAATGACAATGACAATGACAAAGACAACGACAGGAACAACAACAACAACAACGAAATGAATGGTTGGCTGACGGTGGATTGTTGTTTTTGCTTGTTAGTGCTGCAGCGTGCAGGGAACATCCTGAAACGGGAGATCTACTCATCCGACGGCAACCGATGAACCAGCGAGGCATGTTGAGAAACGGGGGGGGAAACGGCGTTTGACATGCTTTTGAGGCGTCGTCGATTTCCTCGTCCGCGTTATCTCAAGCCTTCTTGTACGTACACTGCAAGTATAGAAGTTTTATAAATCATTTAGCTGCGAAGTTGTGCGAGCCCTCTCCCTCATCTTCGCTYTGCTTCATCATTCCTCTCCTTTTCTCAATCCTCAGTGATGGGTACGGTGAAGACAGAGAAGGGTGTGAGTCACGATCTACCCCCGTCGATCGGCATCGATCTGGGTACGTACAACTGCTGCGTGGCAGTATGGAGAGAAGATCACGCCGAGTTCATAATGATCGACAACAAGAGGCTGGTGCCGTCGGTGATTGGTTTCTCGGATGGGGAGAGGCTCGTCGGCGACCGGGCAAAAATGATCGAGGATCAGAATCCAGAGAGGTATATCTTCGGAATGAAGAGGATGTTAGGAAGATCCTTTGACAGCCCAGGCGTTGCAAATGAGATGCAGACTGCTCCGTTCTTTGCGACACGTGGCCCACGAGGCGAGGCTATGGTGATGATCAAAGAGAAAGAGGAGGAGAAGAGGTATAGCCCCGAGCACCTGACTGCCATCCTGCTGAGCAAGCTGAAAGCGGACGCTGAGAAGTATATCGGCTCCCCTGTCCATCGCGCCGTCATTTCCGTTCCTGCTGGCTTCAATCAGAGTCAGCGACAAGCCACTCTGCAGGCAGCCGCCATTKCAGGACTAGACATCCTGCAGTTGATGAGCGAGCCGACGGCTGCTACATTGGGCAGCAGCCGTTGGACTGGAAGACTCACCGAAGAAAGCAGTCGGCTGAAGACGGTTTTAGTCTTCTCCCTCGGTGCGGGATTCTGTGAGGCGTGTATAGTGCAAGTGGCAGGGGAAACGTTCCGGGTAATAGCCGTGGAGAGCAACATGAGCGTAGGGGGGAAAGACTTCAGTGATCGCCTGATTCATCATCTCTGGAGCSGCATCCCTGGAGTGGACAACAGTCGTCGGTGTCTCGKAAAGCTGAGGACGCTGGCAGAGAAGATAAAATCCSATCTCTCTCGTAGGGAAGCTGCATGTATAGAGCCGCATTACCTCTGYGACAGYCAGGCGACCAAGATTCCGATTAGAAGGGAAGATTTTGAGAAGTGGACGTCGGATCTTTTTCTGAAGTGCACTTCTGTCGTCCATACGGTGATGTCCTCTGCTCGATATCTGCCGGAGAGCATTGACAAAGTAGTTCTCGCTGGCGGAGCAACTAGGATGACCGCCATAGCTGACTACTTCAAGGATGTATTTGGTGAGAGAAAGGTATTCAAAGGAGCGAATGCAGATGAGGTTGTCGCGTGTGGGGCTGCACTCCAAGCGTGGACTCTGGCAAGAGAGGGACCATCTTCTGCACGCTCTTCGCCTGCCACTTTGCCGAATGTGGTGGACATCAGCTCAAGGTTGATCGACGTGCACGTGCCGCACTTCCAGGAGACGAGACCGATTATTTCTGCTCATGAGATCTTACCGATTCAAGCGTCGCGATTTCGAGTTCCATGCCAGCCGTTGGAGGGAGCGCCTCACTGCTACTTGCAGGAGGGATTGGCCAACTTCTGCGCGGTGACATTGACAGGCTTCGAGCCTGCGACGGACATTTCGGCAGAGATTGTTTTCAATATGGACAAGAACGGAGTTGTGTCCGCAGCAGCCCGCAGCTGGTTCTCAGCCAAAAAGTTGGACGTCGTGATCAACGCGGCTAGCTGCCGGCAGCTTACGTGCGAGGAACTCTCGGGCATCCAGACGGACATGGCGAAGTACAAAACTTGGGAGGAGGATAGGAAGAGGAGGGAGGAAGCTTGGAATGAGCTGCAGGCGTACGCTTCGGAGTTCGTCCATCGAAGCCCTCCCAAGCTGAAGCGCAAATGGCACAACGTCATGAGCCAGCTGAAAGACGTGCAGGCGTGGTTGGAGACGCTGACCAGTCCAGCACCTGTTCTTGATTATCGTTGCAAAATGAGGAAGCTGAAGGTCTCGCTTGCCACGCGCAAGTTCACCTTAGTGGCCGTTTCGAATTCGAGGAATTGGTGTGGACAGTGTATAATCTCTCCACTGCTTGACACTGCCAGAGGTCTGAACTCCGCTCCTTTCGACGGGAGCGACGTGTGTGAGGTCATTCTCTCGACGASGATCGGACGATTTTATTCTGTTCACTCGGCATGCAAATCGTCTTGGAAGGTTGGAGTAAGCGTTTGTCCAACCAACAAAGCTACGGCTCCAAATTGGGAGATGCTGAAAGACTTATCCATCCCGGTGGTTGTCTCAGGGAGGTGTTTCGAACCGGCGGACTCGGAGAAGAATGCGGGGTACGAGGACGTAGGAAAGGAGGCAGCGCGTCTCGTGAAGGCAGGACGGTCTGTTGTTGTGTGCGTCGGTGAGACAGCGGCTGATAAGCAGTCGGAGTTCCGACCTTTGCTTCGGCAGATCGAGGCCATAAACGATCGTATAGATGGTCAATGGACCAACGTCATTGTTGCGTACAAGCCAATGTGTGGCGCTAAGTCGGCTACTGCCAAGCGGGATACCCCATCGAGCTGTGAGGAGAGTGGTGTTGCCGCAGCCCCGCACGAGATGATCAGAGCTTGGATCGCTGACCACGTGAACGAGGAGACCGCTGCTCGAACCCGCATCGTCTATGGAGGCGACGTTACACGAGAAAGTTGGAGTGCCCTGGCCGAGAAGCCCGATGTCGATGGCTTCTTCATTGATTTGGAGGACACAAAGGTAAATTTTCTAGAGATGGTGAGATCCGTGGTGAAGGAGTCAGGAGGAGGAGGAGGAGGAGGAGGAGGAGAGAAGCTCGCACGGAAGTAGTGTATGCTTCTATTTTGAGTAGATTTTGCCATGGTCATGACTACGGCACACTTATGGCTTCCTCGAATAGAGCGTACGGTCAGAATGATCGAATCTGGACCTGAAATTCGCCCGAATGCAGATGCAATAACCGTACGTCCTACTTGTGGTATGTTGGTAGTTAGTTTGAAGTCCGTTCGGATTTAGGGTGTATGCCATATATAATATGCCTATTTGGTACATCTGCCGTTGTTATACCGGCCAATCGCTGTCGTAAGGATGTCGTATAGGCAGGTTGCATCGCTGATTACTCTCCGTAGATTTGTGTCGGTCGCTCTTTTTCTTCCGTTTTCTGGCTGTTTTCGGCAGAACCGCTTTCTCTTCTCGTGGAGAAGGCTTTTCAACGGGGGGCAGGGCGGTTGGGGGGAGAAGGAAACGGAAAAAAGAAAAAGAAAAAACAAAGAAGAAAAACGGGGGACAAAAACGAAAGGGAGGTAAATATTGCCGGCCGGTTATTGCAGCACGTTTTCTTTTTTTGTCGGATTGGATGTTCTCGTTGTCGGAACGACTCATATTTGTATGTCTGCGCTCTCATTTGGTTTCTGTTTTTCATTGTTTCAGACTCGATGTTGTATGCTGTGATGGCTTTCGTGAGGAACGCACATTTCTTTCCATCCGAGCTTTCCTGATTCTTTGCTGACGAGTGCACATGTGGTCTTTCCATATGATCTTTTCTATTGGTCTTGTGACGGATGCACGTTTCGTGTATGTGTGTGTACTTGCTCCGTTTTTTTGTTTCTTTTTTTTCTTCAAGCGCGATGGCCTTGAGGCATCGTCATTGGACTGACCTGTCCCAGGCAATTCGGAATGATTGCATTATGCTCAATGTTCATCTGACAGTATCTGGATTCGAACTTGACTCTGTCTTTCAAAGTGTTCTTCATGAGTGTACCGACTGAGCTACCTTCTTCCCCCGAAGACAACGAACGGTCATTATAGCTTGTGTATTTGAGGCATGTTTCAGTCTAGATACACAGCTATAACGACCCTACGTTGTATGCGGGGGAAGAAGGCAGGCACGTTGGTTTTTCTTTGTTCTCGACTCCTTTTTGTATGTTTTAATGGTTCCGTGACGAATGCACATTTCTTTCCATCCTACCTTTTCATTTGTGAGGTGGTTTTGTCACAAATGTGCATTCCGTTTCATCTGCTGTTTTTTTTTTCCCCCCCTGAGGGTTTCGTGACGAGTGCATGTGTTTTTCCTTCCGTCCAGTGTTTTCCTGAAGGTTTCTTCAACCTTCTTGATGAGGAATGCACATTTCTTCCAGCTGATCTTTGTGTGTATGCGGCATATGCAAAGTCCAATATGCTCTCTCTTATTCAGTTTGATGGACGCTGCCGATCACAAGAATCATGGAACTTTCCCAATACTAATCTGATCTGTAATCTGCCTCTTTCTCATCAACAAACACAAGTTCAGCTCATTGCCCACTGTCCTGCTGAGATGATACAGCGTGGCCCGTATCTATGTTGCCTTTCGACTGAACCCCCTTCTCCCATCTCTGCTTTGCAAGCTGCGGGTTACTTCTGCCATAATGATGGCAGCATCGCATCATGTTCCACCTTCTTTTTTTTTTTTTTTTTTTTTTTTTCATCATATTCCACCTTACTACCCTCCGGATTCCCTTTTTTTTTCCTGGGAATCGGGCCCAGCGCACTCTCCGCATTCTACAAAGAGTAGAGGGGGGCTGTCCAAGCGCACCATAGCGGCACCAGCGCGTTGTCTTTGGACCTATTGGCTGCATCCCGGGTTTATGTAAGCGTGTGCGTTCACCCACCCTCGGGCTATATCCCCTCCATCTCTTGTCAGTCTGTCTACTACTAGTTCCAGATCACGAGGTGCCACCAATCTTAAGACTTATTACAGTTGCTCAGTCTTCCCGTTCCCCGTCAGTTGTCGTTTCGACTGCAGCCTTACCTTTCCTTTTTCCTGTTTTTTTATCTTGTCGTTTGAAGTTCACGTTTCTTTTTTCTGTTTTTTTTTTTTTTTTTTTTTTTTTTTTTTTTTT